GAAATATAAATTTGAAATAAAAGAAATTTAAATCAATTTATTATGTCGACTTAATTATTAGGTTAATTATTTTATTTAATTTATTTTTTCTTTAATTATTAAATAACTAAAAGTTTCTTGTAGCTTAAGTAGCTTTTAGCTATTTGTTTCTCTTATTTTTCCTTATAATATTAAGTTAAAAGATTCTACTGTTTGCTAAAAATTCTTTGTTTTATTAATTTCCAAAGCTCTTATGAACTTTTTTAATTTCTTTAATATAATTTTTTTATTTTTAAATAGCTTAAAAATATTTTAAAATAATTTTAAGATAGACTATAGGCCAATAAAATTAATATTGAAAGATTTATAAAGATAATGGTAGCTAAAGACTCATTTTTGTAGCTTTTCTAATTTAAATAGCTCATTAAACCAAAACTCACAGATAAACCAAAGCTAATATGTACTTCTATATAATTTAATTCCTTTCTTTTGTAAGGTAAAACTGATAAAATTATTAAAAATAAATAATTATATAAATATTTTTACAAAATCAAAAAATTTACAATATAGTATTGATGTGGCATAAATAAAGCAGATCGAGCAGCAAATCGTATCTCTTAAAATGTATTACTAAAAATAAATACCTTCAACTAAAAATAATAATAATTTATAAAGAGAAGAAGCAATTTCCCACCAGTAATAATAGTAATCTTGATACATAAATCGAAGGTAGTGAGGAGCTCTTTCATTTTCAAGAAAATCCTTTTTTGTCTTCATAAAATATTGTAAAGCAAATAAGAATAGAACTTAAAAGCTTAGTAATGAGATTGATACAATAAATCCAACTTATTTAATGTTCAATGTTACGCTTGGAAAATCTTTTATATAATTTTGACCCTAAACGGTTAGATAACTTAAGACTCCTATGAATAATTTGGCTAAATAAGGGATATTGTGAATTTAGACAAAAAAGAGGGATGCAATTCTTGTTATTTTATCAGTTTTTAAGTAAAATTATGATATTATAAACATAAATAGAAAGATAAATAAAAAAATTATTAATGATATAAATATCCTTGCATGACAAAAAGGTATCTGTTAAGTATCTAATAGAAGAATAAGCTTACAATCTAATAGCTTTAGCATATTATTAGGGGCATTGAATAACTCAAATATAAATTACTATAAGAATATTGGTAGTACATTGATAAATGGATTAATTAAACTTAGTAAGACTAAATAGTTTATTAAGATTTTAATCAAGTTGAATTATTTGGTATCCTAAAAGATATTAACTTTTAAAAGGTAGAAAACTTTTTTCAATTTTTACACTTGAATTTATTTATTTATTATGTTTATTATAAATCCATAAAATAATAGATTTATGAAAAATATTATTAAACTTGGAAAATTTTTGAATCCATCACACCTAATTTTTTAAATTAAATAAATATTTGTATTTAAGATATTGTATTTTCTATTTAATATAATAATTAAAGATAAAAAAATAATATTTTCATTTTATATTTTTCAGAAAATTGATGATAAAATTAAAATGAATGATGATTGATATTATTTAAAATGGAAATCACAATATATTATTAATCGTTAATACGTTTAGCATGTATAAGGAGTTATTTATTAGTATCTGTTTTCCCAGTATATTCCTTCTATGTCACAATCCATGCAAAATACTCCAATATTTCCTTATTTTATAATTATATTAGTAATATATTAGTTTAATAGTAATTTTTTTTACCTTCACTACAATATCTATTTGTACTGCCCTATAATTTTTGAGATACTATTTTATCAATATCTCCAACACAATTTTATGATAAATAGCATTCTTAATATTCATATGTTGTTAAAGAATATCTCCAATATCCTCTTGGTAAATACATTATTGAGTTCTAACAAACAAAAGGACATTTGATACAATTTTATCCATCAACTAAATTAAATGTACCAGCGGGGCAATTATAGCACATATCCTTTTTGCTATTATCTTAGACAAGAGTTGTACCCTTAGGACATAATTTTCTGAACTAAAAATGTATTTCAAAATAAATATTCTAAGAAATATTAAGAAAATTTCCCTATAAGTCATAATTAGGGATGTAGTTAAAATCAGAAGTAAGTCTAATTTTTAGCTATGACCCCAACTTTCCATAGATGGATAAATTAGATAAATTAAATAAGCCATTATTTTATTTTATCTATGAAGGAAAAATTGAAAAATCTTCCTAGTCTGTTTCTAATTTAAGAATTATGTCATTTTTTAATTATGAAATTGGGTAATTTTCAGCATTTATAAGTTAAATTAACAAATCATCCTTTATTTTCATAATTTAATAAATTAATATATTGATTTGAAAATTATAATATATTTAAAATTTACTTTTTTTAAATAAAAAAAATAATAAATATTTATAATTATTTACTTGAATTATTCCGCTTAGAAAATTATAAATTACAATTTTAGAATTATATTTTTGACCATTTAAAATTCCAATAAATCCTACAGCAGATTATTCTAACTAGTTTCCATATAATTTTGCAAAATTATTTAACAATGTATTTTAGAATATCCTGCTAATAGGGAGGTTTTGCATTTAAAATAAAACACTACCAATAAGAGCTTAGTTATTCATAAATGACGAAAATGTTAATTAAATATTTTAAAATTTAGAATCAAGTTTATTATCAGAAGCTATAGCACCTCCATACATTTATGCTTTATTACCAGTAAATTATAAATTAGATAAATATATTAGAGTGCTCTCTATAAAAATAGATCCTCCACTTTATAAAGCTAAGTTGCCAATAAAAGAGCAGTTTAATATTGTTTGATTTGCTTAGCTAAATTATACTTAGTAGTCATTAAAATTTGTACATTCTAAAATTCTATTAGATTTTGATAAAGCTGGCATATGTAAATATAAAGAGCCTCCATTAAATGCAGTATTTTCTTAAAAAATACTTTAATCTATAAAAAGATGATTTGAATCAATAAATATATTCCCTTATTCACATAAAGCGCAATAGTTTTTTTAGAATATTAGCTTTTTAATTATAGCTGAGTTTGAATTGATTGATATTAAGCTTTTTATTTAATTATTTTGAGGATAAATAGGAAGATTAGTTAATTTATTGTTATTAAAATTATCCCATTAAATCAAAACTTTCTTAGAGTTAGAGATACTAATTAAGTTGCTATAAACTTACAATTAATTGTATTAATTTTAATCAAGAGTTAGTAAAGTGATAGATTAGAAATTCATTATTGATTGAAATGTAAGCTGAGCTAAATTTAAATTTTGAAATTATTGATTTGACTAACTTGATTAAAATATGCACTAAATAATATCAACACTATAAAAGTTTTAAAAGGTAAACAATGAGTTAGCATTACTTTGTATCATTTATGAAGAGAAATAAGGTTATAAATTTCCAGAGAGTACTTTAAAGTTGTCTGTAATTGAAACAACATTTACATACATTGTTATTTGACTAGTGGCTTTTGACTAAAAAGAATAAATATTACTTCCACCTAGAGATAAATTATCTGTAAAGTGATTATATTAACTGACAAAAAAAAATTTAAGCAGCGAATTGGAAATATAAATAGATCCTCCTTAGTATAAAGATAGATTATTTTTAAAGGTTGTATTTAAGATGAATAGTTCACCAGTAGTTTAGCTTAATGAAATATCAAAATAGATAGCTCCTCCATAGCATTCTTATTTATTCTTTAAACTAAAGCTCCAATTATCAATAAAATTAGATAATTATATATATACTTTAGTCATCAATATACTTTAAAAATAAATAGCACCTCCTTAATAAGCTAAACCACCTGAAAATGTGGTATTAAATATTTATAGCTATGGTGAAATAAGGTTTAGTATTCCACCTTTTAAAGTAGAATCTTAAAATGCAAATTTAGAATTTTAGTTTTCTTATAAAACAAAAGAAGAGTTGACTAAATTAATTTAGTTGCATCTAATTTACAAAATATTATGTGAGGGATGAACATAATAAGTTTAAATAAAGCTATTCTCTACTTATAATAAGCCTATTTCCATTTAGATTAATAAGACAGTAGATAAAAATTATTCAGTTTATAAGTATTCCTATTCGTTTTAAAAAATATAGATTTAAATGAAAAATTTAAAATATTAGTTTTGTTATTAATTTAAAATCAAATAAAATAAATGTACCTCTAATTTACTAAATTTTCTATAGACATTAATTCCTTAAAAGTTACTAATAAGAACAATTCCATCAATTTAAGATTTAATTTCTATAATATTTTATATCGGAACTTCAAAACTGATAGGTGGAATTCTTTTCAACTCGATCTCATAAAAAGTGAAATTAACTAATTTGATTTAGTATAAGGACCTGTCATTATTTTAAATTTGATTCATTATTTAATGTATGATTATCAATTATTAGTATGTAATTAGTTATCTTATCATCACATTTTGAATTACGCAAGTTAAATTTACCCTTTAAAGATCTAATATATTATATGCCGAAGACTAAGAAATTTATTACCCAACATTTAGAATATTTATATTAACATTTTAAACACTTAGAATAGTTAAGAATTTTATAGCGATTTCGTCTTCAATTATTAATTTATTTATTGTTACGTTTGTTACTGAATTAAATTAAAAGAATTTACTATTTTGTAATGTTAAATTTTGTATATTATAAGTATTATTTTTTATTTAGAAATCAGTGATGTTTAAAATTGCATTTTAACTTAAACTTAAATAAAAAATAAAAGCATGATTTGTATTCACTACATTAGACTAGAACTTAAACGAAGTGAAATTATATTGAATAATATTAGAATTTTATTAAACTGAGGATAGCTAGAATATTAGTGTATTTAAAAAAATATTATTCACAAATTGGAATTGTGAAATTTATATTTAGTCTAAATAAAATAAGCTTGGTAGCTAGTTTTATGAGCTAAAATCTGAAATTATACTATTATCTGACATTACTACTTAAGTAAATACTATTTTGTTAAAATGTTAAGAGTACATAATAATGGAGTTATAAAAGCTGCTTTTGTAGATGCTAATATTAGTTAAATTTAAAGCTGAAGATTATTATAAGACTTGAAGTGAGGCTTGAACTAAAGTTGACTGTTATTAGAATATACTTTAGCTGATAGTAAAATTATACATATTTAAAATTCCAAAAAACTAAAAGGAGAAGAATTAACTAGAAATAAAAGTGCAATTCTAGAAAATAATATTTGTTATTTAGTAAGTTTATGGGGTAGCTATCTATTAAAATTTTAAATCAATTAAATTATTATTCTTGGTAGTAATGTTAGTGAAAGAAACATTATCAATTATTAGAGTTCCATTGAAGAATTAAAAACTTAACAAAAGTAAGTTAGGAGATAAGGTTTTGGAGCTAAATGTTACATTTTGTAACTAAATTGAATATATTTCTGTATTTTAAGATAAGAAACCAAAATTTCCATTTGAGTGTTTTGATACATAATTAATGTTTTATATTTAAATTTAGCTAAATCCATATATTTATGCTACAGCTATTTACTAAACTGTAAAATAAGTTTGGTTATCTTAATTTTAGTCAGCCTTAATCGTCAGTGTCATAAATTCCAAAGAATTGATTGTACTCTTCAAGCTATTTTAAAGATTTAGAGCAAAATTCTCAATGCAAATACCACTTTAGTCAATATATTAAATAGCAAGTTCTATCTTTCTCAATTACAGCTCATTATAAAACACATAAGCTCTATTTAAATCTTCTTCATTAAGTATTAATCTGTCTATGTTTACTTAAGAAATTTTAAACAAATTATAAGGGTCTGATAATGTGCCTGATCCTAACTTCTATTCATATGTGCCACAAAATACATAAACATGAGATTTTTTTGTAAAGTAACATCCATTATCACTTTTTAAGCAAAGCTAGCATTTCATTTTTTTCTTATCGTATCTTATTTCGTACCTTTCAAGTTCCTAATATTAGCTTATTATCTTTTATTTACATGAGTAACATTTTGTATCATATAAATCAAAGGCTCCATTTATAAAATATTAGCTCTTATCTTCACATGTTTCACATCTAAATTTAATTTTTTAATATTTATTAAATAATTTTTAAGGCCAAATTCGATTATATATTAATGTAAAAGTTTTTATTTCAAAATATAATTTTAAAAAAATATTTAATGATTTAAAATAAATCTAATTAAATCAATTTTTAAAGAAATTCATAATAAAAGAAATTACAGAATAGGGCATAATTTACAGTTTTATTGCTTTTGATCGAAGCTAATCATCAAATTAATTTAATTAAAATATACAGTATTAAAGTACATTTGAGCGATGTACATTTAAATAGAAGCTATTTCAGAGAACAAAAGATTAGAATTGCATTATACACAAAATGGTTGATCTTAATAAAATATGCAAGTTTGGCAATATTTTCCGCAGACAGGAAATACACAAGATGATTGAGTATTACTCAAAATTCTTCCTTGCTAACAAACAGAACATAGCATCTCAACTTTAAATAGCTCATAGTATTAAATTCTTTATTAAAGTGTTAAGCTTAATAATATTTATCTTTCATAGATAAAAATATTAGTAAAATTGACTTTACTTTGCTAATACATTCCTACTTCGTAGCAATTAAGACACCCATTTGGACATGGAATACATCCACTTATACTTGGAATATATCCTTCTTTACATTAAATACATTAATACAATGAACCATCTTAATAATTCTAAAATTCATAGCAATTTAAACAATTTATCATCTTTATTTTAAATGAAAAAATAAAAAAAAAATAAATAAAATAAATTGACATAAATATCTTTATTTAATACCAGCTGGTTGCAATATTGATTTTCATCACAAGATAATTAACCATTAGTTGTTATAATTAAGGGAAAACCATATTAACACAAATTATACTCATAATTGCTACCTGCAAAAGTGACATTTGTTGGTTAAAAATAAGACTTACAGATAATAGAAGTATTATTTAAATGCAAAGGATCACCAAGATTTAAGCAGGTTCTAAATTAAGGTTATAAGCATGTATTAGGATAGCAATAGTTACAATTAAATATGCTTATTTCTTCAGGAAAATAATAATAATTTAAATAGGTTTTTGTACTTATTAAATTTATAGAAGAAATAAAATCATAGTCATAGCAACTAGGTTGAGTATTTGCCACAATTTATGAGCAATCAAACCCTTTTTATAATAAGGAATTAAAACTTGATTTAAAATTTAAAATTTACTATTAGTACTGCGCTTGAATCCAGGAAAGCATTTTAAACAATAAGGAATTAAATTTTATGAAGCAAAAATATGAAAGTTATAATACTTCTTGTTAACTAGTTTACCATCAGTAGTCACTAAGTATTATATATATATAAATTAGCATTATTAGTTAAAAATGTAAATAAAAATTATTTTTGTATATTAAAATTTTAAAAAAAAAAATATTTCTTTGTTTTTCACAGATAAATTAATAAAATAATATTACTGTAAACACATTCTTAGCATTAAATTCCACAAGACACACAAATTTAAAAGTCGAAATTAATTAAAAATCCTCTCTAACAAGATCTACATGAAAAAGTAGCACTATTCATATTAAAAACACCGCTAAGATATTAATCGTAACTTAAATCTTCGAAATTAAAAAATTGATTTTCTTATAAGATACTCATTCCACACTCTAAACATTAAGAAGGACAAGGTTAGCATACATATTAAGGTGTAACGTAAAAGAGATATTTACACTTTAAACATTTATTAACTCCTGACTAGTCTTAAATACATCTTATGCAATTATTTGAACCTTATTTATTTTAAGATATTAATTAATATAAGTTATTAAAATAAATAAAATTATTTATTACATGAATTTGACTATTATAATTCCTACAAGTATAAATAGGAAAGAGGTTTTTTGAACAATTAGTAATATGGTATTTCTTGTGTAGGACCCTTTTGAATCTAATAGTAAATTGTCTGACTAAAATAAGGATTAAATTTATATAAACCAGCAAAATTAATCACCATCTAAGTACACATTTTATTAATTAAAGTTTAATCTCCCCTATTAATTAATTATATTAATTCAATGTAAAAATTAAAATATAATAAATGTTTACCATTAATTTTATTCCAAATTGCATTCAGCACATGTGTAAGTAATTTGTTTAACAAAGTTAAATAGTTAAGAGCTGGGATCAATGCTTTATGCGTATTGCTAAAAAAGACATTTTATACAAATCTAATTCTAATTAGCAGTATCTTGGTATAAAAAATATCCTTCTATGCATTATAAACATATCTTTTAATTTTAACATACTCTACATCTAAAATAATTTTATAATTTTTAAGTTAAATTTAATATGTGTTTTTACTGTATAATCTATTTTAAAATTAAATTTGAAATATTTTTTCAGATATTTACAAGATTTTTTATTTTGCCTCACATACAGTTAGTATTTCTTTTAAAGAGAATAGAGAAATAATTTTTCATCAAATTAAAAAAATTTTTTAGGAATCAAGTTGAAAATAAAAGAAATTTTTATAGTTTACCCTTCTGGACATTTTTAGCTGTTTGATGAGCAATCAGAATTAGGATAACAATCTTCTAAGTTATATTGAAGTTCATAATTGAAATACATATTTTAGGTTTGTTTAACTTGTTGGTAACAAGTATGATCTCCAGGATTGTAAAAGTATTTTGGGCAGACTAAGCACTGCTTTTCTTGATTTGCTGTTACCATGTTTTAACACAAATAGTTTTTGTCTCTGCATAACAATATTTTGTATTAATTCATTTCATCTATATTTTATTTGAAACATGGCAAATCTTATCTGTATTAGTATATGCATTCGTTATAACTATAAGAAGATGTATCCAATTAAATATAATACAAGCAGATTTATTATGGCATTTAAAGGCAATAATTCAAGGGGCATACTTAACAACCTGGTTTATTCACATCAAAACACTTTCCTAAATAATAAAAATTAAATTATTTAAAAAAATTTTTAATTTTCATACCATTATAATCCTAGCAATAAGTATTATTTAAAGCAATACAAACTCCATTTAATAAGCATTCTTTAAATGAACAACTACTGCATGGAGTAGTATCTGTTTACAAAATACATCTTCCTAATGAATCTGAGCACTTATAAATACCTTCAACTTTCTAACAGTAGTCTCCGTTGCTATTACTAGAAATGCAATAAACTCCTCTAAAGCAAAATTACTTCAAAAATTATAAAATAATCACTATTTATTTTTCTTCCAAAATTTTTTACAATTAATTAAGATAAATGAGGAATATTTTAGTCATTTTAAGATACACAAAGACCAGTTCCTTAGTATCTTCCTTTTTATAGTAAAACATTATTTAAGAATAAATAATCGTAATCTATAAAAGCTCAAAGATAAAATACCTAATTAATTTGGCTATTAATAATCTATCAATACACATACATTTTAATTTTATGTACTTCTCTTTAAGAGGCAATAACTGTTTAAAATAAAAATATTCTAATAATTTAAATATTAAAAATAGTTTTGAATACTTAATATAGCAAGAGCTTGCTCCGAACATACCTGAATCGTTTGATTTTAAGCATTTACCTGTTTAATTTTCTCTTCCAGGATTTAGCATAGAGAGAGGAAGGCATTAACCATTAAGTAAGCAATAATTTTATGCACAATTTGTAGCAGTGCTTGTATTCTAAGGTAAGCATTTTTAGTCTTATAAGTTTCTTCCAATAGTAAATTAATTAATACTATCAAGAGGAACACATGCATCTTTAAGTATACAATAATCTCCAGATAAGCAGTTGACAGATACAACTATTAAATCATAAAAATAACAATATCTTTGAAATTTAACTAAAAATTTTATCTACTTTTATTTAGATCTGCGCAAGTACTATCTGATAGTTTAGCTTTAACACTTTGGTTTGTTTTGAAGTATTAGCTCGAATCTTGTAAAGGATGGCATACATAGTAATTTCTAATTAAAATAAAATATAGGTAATTTTAAATATTTATAATCATTATTACTAATATTTAAGGACACAATTATCTCCATAACACCATGAAATTCCTATTTTAGCACAAATGTAAAAATATATTTTAATCAATAATTAAATAAACCTAAATATGAAAGTTGCAGCTGTTATAAACAAATTTAAGAAAAAAGCTCTACACCTATGTATTGATTTCCATTTATAAAAGAGCCAAGAGCTACACAATACTTTTAAGTTTCAGACTACATGTAAATGCAAAATCCATTTGGGCATTTATCAATATTTTATGCCTTACCAGTGATAGGTTAGTAAGGCAAACAATTTTATGTATTTAATTCTTTTGCGAAATTAGGCTATGTCAAATCTGTTGTTAATT